GCCTGTGTGGGTGAGGGCGGCGGGGCGCGGGGGGCACAGGGAGCCGCGGGAGAGGCGCTCGCATTGCCGCGTCTGTGCCTCCCGCCTGGCACCGAGCTGCTTCGGCTCTATCGAGGCGCTTTGTTTGTAGGCCGAGTCGCGCAGCTCTGCGTTTAGCAGCAACGTGTCAGCGATATGCTTATAGATCCTGGTTTTCCTCATGTTAGGAGTGGCACCTGTGGGCAGGAGCACAGTAAGGAAAGGTGGTGATGCCCTTGTGTCTCCCACACCTGCAGTCACTGTGATCTGATGGTGACAAAAGTGAAAGGAAGAGGAAATTAGACTTTGTTTTATTTTCAGTAGTACAAGACGTTGATCTTTTTTTTTTCCCAGTCAGAAACATTTGTCTCTCAGAGCTGTATCTGCATGCTCTTGTAAGTGTGACTTCTTTCTGTGCTGTTGGCAAATAAGTACCCAGTGTCCGTTCAGGGGAAATGATCCAGAGTTTCGTGTTTGGGTGGGTTTCTTAATTCTATGATTCTGAATACCTCTCTTGCTATTTCTTTTTCTTTGTTTCAAAGTAACCAGCCAAAGAAGTTATGAGTATCATCTGTGGTGTGAAGCTGCTAAGCAGGAACTGTGTTTTCTCTCATTTGGCTGCTCTGACCAAACAGGGGAAGTGCAATAATCTGCCTCGGTGCTACACTGGGTGTTGCAGATCTCGAGTCAGCAGAGATAAATGCCAAAGGTTGGATTTGAGTGGAAATACTACAAACTGTCTTTTGCCTGGAAGCCTTGACTCCTATAGAAACTTCATCAGTAAAAGACTGAGGTGTCTTTTCAATGTGCCAAATACAGAAGGATACAAGAATGTGCAATATAATTTCGGAAGGTTTTGCTTCCAGACTTCTCAGCCACTGGGAGAGAAGATCACATCCCTCCAGAGCAGTTCTGCAGGACAACTCCCACATCACTTTTCTGCTTGCAACATTCAGATCATCAGGTCTTTTCATACATCACCATCATTTCAGGCTGCACCAGTTCCTCTCTTCTGGGTTATCGTGAAGCCAGCTCAGAAATTATTTGCCATCATTCTTGGCAGGTAAAATCCTTTGTTACTTCCCTCTGAGTGCAAGACCCCGTCGTGCAGCAATGTGTGTCGTTGGGATGGCAGGTGTGTCTGTGGATCTGTTTGACTGACAGTTTGCTCCACAAGAAGGTTTTGTTTCCATTTTCAGGGGTGTTAGATGTGTTTTGCTCTTTTCCTTCTCATTTACACGTGGTAGAGGGAGATGAACCAAGTCACTAAGGGACATTCCTTATCCTGTGGGAGGGAAGAATGGGAGTGGAGTAGAAACCAATTACAGGATAACCTTCCATAAGTTTGTACATGAGATGAGTCACTAGTAGAGGATACAGCAAGGACAGACACTAACAAATTCCTTTCTGTGTCCTAAATTAACACTGTTTCTGTCCTACAGGAGCATAAGGAATTGGTGGAAGGCACTTCCTCCTAATAAAAGAGAACATCTGAAAGAAAGTGCAAGGAGAAATAAATGGAAGATCCTCCTGGGTGTCAGCTGCTTAGGAGTTTTGTTTGCTGTGTTTTATTGCACTCACCTGGAGGAGACACCCATCACAGGGCGAGCTCGGCTCCTCGTCTTTGGGAAAGAGCACCTCAGGGAGCTCTCACAGATGGAATATGATATGGTCAGAGATTAAACTGTTGATGCTTTTTTAGTGATTGCACATCTCATTCATTGCACTAACAGACCTCGTGGTGTCCCTGATGAGGTTTGAACTTCATGCAGGGCACCCACCCACATCAGTTACACCTTCCTCTTGTCCCCATCCTTGTTAAGCATTCCCTTTCCATCAGAGCACATTAAAAATCATATGGCATGCATGTAGCAAGCATTTCTGTATTACATAATTGAACAAGAAGTACAGAGATCTGGTAGGATCTATATAAGAATAGATACATGAGATCTGTCTCAGTTTCTGTGCTGTTCTGAGCAATCTTTGGCACTTGTTTAAGGTCCTCTAAGCTGTCACTTTGTAAGGTGGTACTCTCCATCTGCAAATCCATTTCCTTTTCATTGGATCAACTCATTTTTCCTTAATTTCTTTCCTTTAACCTTTCCATTGAACCAGTTCCTGTAACTCTGTGTGCTATGTCTTCCTGTTCTTAAGTCAGTGAAACCTGACAAACCATATACACGTCTCTACAGTCCTATCTGTCAGAGATGGGAGATAAGAACAGAACAAGAATATGTTAAAATTACATATATTGTCTAAACTTGCCCACCTTAAAAATTACAACAACAGTATCCAGATAGAGGAAAATTCAGGAGGGGTTAGAAAGGTTCTCCAGATTATGATGCCAAGCCTGTGTATGAGGAAAATGACAGATCCAGGTGGCTGTAGGACCAGTTTATACTATCTTATTTCTGATCTGTGCTCAGTTGACTTCCTTTTAAGCTTATGAATGTTTTTCTTGTGGTTCTGCAAGCCTAAACTGTATTGGCTTTGACTATATGAAAGAAAAATACATTGAAACATAAATTTATTTAGTGGCTACACTCAACTTAGATGACTTCATCAGTTAGTCATTCCCTGTGTGTTTGTTCTGCATGGCAATCAGGGAATTTCTTTTTCAGTGGATGGAGCAGTTCCAAAGCAAGATGTTGCCTGAGACAGACCCACGGTACCAGGTTGTGGAGAGAGTTGTTGGGCACTTGTCTGAGAGCAATAAGGATGTCCCACAGCTCTCTGCACTCCAGTGGGTTATCCACATGGTAGATGAACCAGATGTAAATGCCTTTGTACTTCCAGTAAGTTGAACACAACACAAACATTATTAACATTGGAACAGCATTTTATTTATGTCTCCTACTTAATTTTTATTCTCTTTTTCTTTACAGCATGGTCAGGTGTTTGTTTACACTGGATTGCTGGATGCAGTTTGTGATATTAATCAGCTGTCATTCATTCTGGGACATGAAATAGCTCATGCTGTGCTGGAACATGCAGTAAGTTTTTAAAGCAAGCTGTCTAAAGCTCTGAATTTATTAAGTCTAATTACACTAGTTGTGATTTTTCCTATCACTACCAACCAGGTTTTCAGTGTGACTGTTTCTAATTAATGAAAAATTGAGTTTGAAGTGAGTATTCTGCTGCAGTAGATCCTTATTTGTGTTGTACTTAGTAACTGTCAGAAGAGCTGTAGTTGTCCCTGTTAGCACAGTCTGCCAGTGGCTTTTCCACAGCTGTGCAGGAGTTCTATGACTCACCTTTAACAGTCATTTAGAGCTTGGTCTGTAGGTGCTTCTCCTATAGCACAGACATAAAGAACTAGAGGTAGTCAGTCTGTTGCTCCTACACTTGTTAATACCTACAGAAATGGATTACTTAAAAAAAGTATCCTAAAATACCATGATACTTTTATTAAAGTGGCACACAATTGTAAAATGTCACATTCTAGAATGCCTGGAGCTTGATTCTTGTATGAGGAACAGTTCACTTTGTGGTTTCTTGGGGTCAGCTGAGCCAACTAACCCTTTAAGCTAAGCAAAAAGTGTTTCTAAGAATAAAAAGCACTTAGCTTGTTGGTATGGAACTTGTGTCACCCAGCTGACATCAAGAGGAGTATTACACAATCCCTGTTGTAAATGCTCTAATCGGTTTGTTGTGTGTCAAGTAGAGCTTTGGAAAGCAGAATAATTTCAGCATATTTCTTCAGGATCTCTCAGTTTTGAACTTAAAGGAATGCAGCAGAAAATAAAAGATAAATACATTTTGTCCACTGTTCCTTATCCCATTAGTGATCCTAAGTGGTGTCTATCTCTTCTCAAATTAATGTAAAGAACAGTGTTTGAAGTCTTTTTAGAGGTTCTTTCATCCCAACTGAGGCATTTCATAGCCTTTGTGCTAAAGAACTCTGCATGTTGCCACCATCGTTCTCAAGCTTAGAATCTCTCAGAGAGACTGATAGCCCAGTGGGATTTGTTCCAGCTGGATTTATGCAGCTGGTGTGGATTCTAGGCTGAAAGCACCTTGTATCCAACTGGATTTTGTTTGTGCAAGCAGGGAATCTTGTGCTTGCCCTGTTCCTGTGGCTGCACAGAAAACAAAAATCAGTGATTTTTCAAGTGTTTCCCAGTTGTGTAATGTTCTAGAGAAGTGTCAGGCTGAGGAATGACACCAGGACCATTTGTGTTTGCAGGCAGAGAAAGCCAGCCTGGTGCACTTTGTGGATTTTCTTTCTCTCATCTTTCTCACCATGATTTGGGCCATCTGTCCTCGAGATAGTTTGGCAGTTGTTGGCCAGTGGATTCAGAGCAAGTTGCAGGAGGTAAGGCTTGACATTTTTGTATTATCCTTCCTGACTTCCATTTCTAATCTTAATTTTCACCTTAATTTTTAATCTTTCACTACACTAAGCAGTATGTTTGGGGGGAAAAAGGCAAGAAGAGAAATGTAATAAAAAATTGCTTATGTTTCTGAATGAAATATGTTTCTGTAAATCTACATCTGCTATAGTTGATACTATTTTCATTTGTCATCTTGAAGAGATGTAGATCTCCCTAAATGACTGGAATTAGCTGGACAGGATCCACGTATTTACTTGTCAATTAAGGTCTTTTAGAAATGTAGCTTACCCTTTAAAGTTCTACATGTTGAAATGCCATAATTTATTTTGAGTGGCTGTTAAATTGTTTCTAAACCAAATAACATACGTGGAACTCTATAAATATGTTGTTAATAGTAAGAATGGTTTCTAAGATTAAAACACTGAGAATCTTAAGCACTTCTAAATATTTAACTATGCTATAGTGAAACTTAGTGAAATAATCTCTTCAGGCAGCATGTATCCAGCCAAGTGAAATTCAGGGTCTGTGTGGTTCCAGTTTCTTCATCAGTCTCATTTACTCTCTGCCTCTGGACACTTACTGATCCTAAAACACACTACAAGTATGTTTTTTACAAAGAAATTTTGCTTAGATCACAGAACTGGAGCCTGAATTTAAGTGCTAGAGCTCTTAGGTTGCTTTTCCTGAGATTTCCTCCAGTTCCTCAAACCCATGAAATGGAATATAACTAATGTGTTTTGGTAGTTCTTATGCTGATGGGTACATGTGTGGATTCTGCACATAAATTATCTCTGAAGAGCTTGGGTATTAGTACAAGTAGCTAAGAAACCAATACATTGCTGAGTGCTAGCCAGCATTTTGAAGAGCTGAATTTGGCAAAACCCAAGTGTGAATCAATCCTGAGACTGCTTATAATTTAGATAGCAAAATTCAACTCCCTGTCAGCATCTCTCCTCCTCTCCTAGGCTAACTGCAACGGAGATCTTGGAGTCCTGGATTGGACTTGTGCTTTAGGTTGCAAATGGAATCTGGGTTTAAGCTCGTAGTCCTTGTGTGCTACAGTAAACACTGATCTTATAGGGGGTATTGTTCAGTAATATCCTGGTTTAAAATGCTGATCAAACTCATCTTTGGCAGTATTGAATATATCCATATGTAATGCAGAATAAACAAGTGATTAACTTGCAAAGCTTTTGTCCCATATACAAAACATGCTGAATAGATTTAGTGTCTTTCAGTCACCCAGGAGCGCAGTGTCTGTTTTCTGCTTTCAACATTTGCCTGTTGTGCTTACATTAAAGTGAATCTTTCTGCACATTTTCTCAGGGTGTTTCTTTTCCCCTTCTTCCATAACTGCAGTTTGCTTTTCAAAATGTTACCATCCCTGTTTTGAGAGGATTGCTTAAGCTGTGTTGCAGCACTTGCTTCTGTTTCAATATTTGTTTTTCTCTTACGTCCTCAGAGGCTTCACATTTTGACCTCCTGACTATTGTTTGTCTTTTATTGTTGACTATAAGGAGTTCCCAGTGGCTCCTTGGAGACCTTTGGGCATGTTAGCTCCACTTCTGCTTTTCCCCCCAAAGTAGTGAGTTTGCTTTCCTTAGTAAATCATTTTCTCATGCCATTCATTCATACTTGTTCCTCAGTCATGTATTTCTGAACTGAAGCATGTTGGCTTTGTTAGACAGCAGCAGTTATTTTATAGGAACTAAAGCCTAGGAATTATTCTTGGAATAACACAAAGCATGACTCTGAGCTCTACTTGTGTCCTACACACCAGTTTGTACAGATACCTAGTTTGTAGCAGATGAATAGTGCTGTATGTGAGATGCCTCGGGACCCTTTTGTATGTTACCAGTTTAATTTCCATGTCTAAAAAGTGTTTAATAATTAAACAAAGAGTTTATCTGGCTACATGGGAAATGAGGCCTCAGGAATATGTGACACACCAGCCAGGGGTGTCTCTGCTGTTTAGAGAATGTTTGTACCCCAGTAGTTCTGGAGCACTTCTCAAGGCAATAGGAATATATATTCCACTTCAAGGAATGATTTTGGCATCAGAGGATTTTAAAAATCTATTTATAATCGCAATATTTAAGGTCTGTATGAAACTAAGAATTTAGCAAGTGACCTCATCTCTGCATACTTATAAACCAGCAAGTTTGGCATTAAAAAACCTTTAGAGGCTCAGCTTTGTTTGGCTTCTATTTTTGACCTAGTAAAGAAAAACTACCACTGCTACTTTGGAAAGAAGCAAAAAGTTACAGACGCCTTTATGTACTCAAGGGATTGGATCACTTTGGTGCTCTTCATTTGAACTCTTTGGTGGTTTGTTGTTTGAGTTTTGGGTTTATTTTCTGGAAGCATATTTTTATAGCCAGATAAAGAGCTGATACAACCTTTTTGAGCTGATGAACCTTTCTCTCTTCACTGACCTCCCACATTGCCATTCTTCAGCTTGTATTTCCTAACTAGTGGCTAACCAGGATGTGGTGACAGCCCCTTATCTCTGCAGGAATAGGCTGTTTTAACAAGTCCTGATTTGCATGACAAACAAGGCAAGGCTGCCCAAATCCACTTGAATCACACAGGACAGAAGTTCCTGGTATTTATGTCTAAACAGTCATTTGAGAAAAACTACCACTGTCTCCAGCATGTGTTATGCACTAGAAAAATGGGAGAGGAGTTGGTCAGGTTTACGTCTTCTAGTTTGATTTCTCAAGAGCAGTTTGCAGCTTGTCTTGGGTCACAATCATGGCAAGGGAGTGATTTACGCATGGAAATATTTATGTACATTCCATACTGTGGGCTGTTTGCCATGAGAAATAGATGATTCCAGGCTTAAAGAGAGTGGTCATAAAAGTTTAGGGAAACACTGGAGTTATTTACATAGTTGCTACAACAAAAATCTTGATGTCAATAAAAGAGTGAAGTGAAATAATACTCCACTGTAAAGTTGGTATTGAACCTTAGTTGCTGCAAAGTGTGGGAAAACAGGTGTAATTTGAATTAATTTCCACGGAATACAGGATCAATGAGTTACATATAATGGAATTAAAGATCCCATTAAGAAGATTAGTACTGATCACATGCAGTGTGAGCATGTGATAGATAAACCCCATTAACTAGGAGAAGGTTAGAAAGGTAACTAAAATGCTCTAGCCTTGTACACATCCAAACCCAAGAAATGAAGTTTTGATGTGCTTCTTTGCAGTTCATGTTTGACAGACCATACAGCAGGACACTGGAGGCTGAGGCTGATAAAGTGGGACTTCAGTTTGCAGCAAAGGTAACTACACCTGGCTGGTTTTATTAGCAATCCACCAGACATTCTCCAGTTTCTGCTCTAATCAGTGGGATTTTCACATTTCATACAGGAGTAAATGTGCATTTTGGAAGATGTGTAGGTTTGTGAATTGGTGGTAAGTAAAATAGTTCTTACGGAAAGACAAAGTCATTGTGGCTAAATTGTGTGCCCTAAAATTGGAGTTTGTCAAGTTGTACATTAACTACACAAATATAGTTTCTGTGTAGTTTATTGCTGTTAGAAGAAAACCCACATATTTATAAAGAGGGGAATGGTAAATACTGAGCTTCCATAAGTAGGATTTAATTGTATGTAAAGATTTTAAAATGTAGTTTAAATCCAGCTGCAAAGCCAATGCAGCTTTGCTAAAGTCAGACAAAAATTTGGTCAGAAGCTCCTCAGCATTTTTTTCATAATTTATTTTTTCAGTTACTTTTTTTACCTTGTGGATTTTTATTCTACACTAAAGAAACTAAACCAACTCTGATTTCTAGCTCAATGCATCCAAGCTGAGGAAGTGTGAGATAACAGTGAGAGCAGCACCATCTAGTGTTAATAGTTCATCAGTAAAGTTTCCTTTTCTTAGTCATTATTTATATTTCTTCAAGGAATAGTTCTAAAATTTACTTGGATTATGGGGTTGAAACTGCATTTGTCATTTAAAGTCATCTAAGGGAGTAATACAGTCTAATACAATGTGAAATATCTTGTGGGGGGTTTTCTCCTCCACTTAGATGCAAAAATAAAGGAGTGTGTTGGTCATACACAAAAGCCATTCTAAAAGTTAGTGTTCATGACTTTCTGTGGCTAAATATAAACCTATATGAATTCTACAGGATTACTGTTTTAGTCTGCCATGGGTTACACAGATCTCCTTTGAAAAAGTCCATGTAATCACTTACAGAAATGCCTTTCCAGTTCATTTTTACATATATTCAGGGATGAATTATTACCACTTTCTATTTTTGCCTCTAAACCTCTCCCTATAAATCTGTGGAGATAATTAATTTGTTCTTCTGCTGCACTTTGTCTGCAAATGTAACTCAGAATTCACAGTTCAGGTTTTTTACTGAACAAGTCCATGTACAATTGTGACCCTGTTTTTCTTCTGAGTTGTCTAATTCAGATGGAAGTTTTTTAAGATCAGTGGAATTTGGCATAGGAATAGGTTCCCTGGGGAGGTAGTGGATTCACTATCCCTAGAAGTGTTTAAGAGGCTGGAGGAAATGGTTTAGGGGTTAGAGCAATGACAGGTTAATGGTTGGACTATGATCTTAGAGGTCTCTTCCAGCCTCGGTGATTGTATGAGTTACATAGATGTAAAAGGAGCAGACCACTGCATTAATTTTTTATTGCATTTAGATATTTTAGAACAGCCTTTTCCTGTCAGGTATGAGGAGAACCATCTAAACAGGCTTTAGGGACTTCAATGTTAATATGTCTTTTATAATTTAATACCCAATAGGATGTGTATTTATGACTTTAAAAACGCAATGGTGTCTGCATTTCCTTTCTGTTTTCAGGCCTGTGTGGATGTAAGAGCAAGCAGTGTGTTTTGGCAGCAGATGGAACTGGCAGAAACCATTCATGGACAGCCCAAGGTGCCAGAGTGGCTCTCCACACACCCTTCCCACAAGAACAGAGCTGAGCACTTGGACCGCCTGATCCCAGAGGTGAAGGAAGTGTGGCTTTTCCTCCCAGGAATATTGATTCATGGGCTACTTTGGTCTTAATTCAGAGTCTACTCATTTAGCCCTGTGCTTACCTCTCTCTTTATCCTTACAGAGAAAGACAAAGCTTTCAACCTTAATTTTTCCTCAACTGATAAAACCTTTAATGTGTAATATTTTTGGTTTTGAGTGGCCTTCTGGTACAGATGTGACAGTGTCACAGGTCTCATCCACTCTTTGCTCTTCTTTTGCCATCTTGGAAGCCACTTTATAAGACTTTATAAACTGTCTTGACTTCTCTTGCTTTCATAGCTTGGCCTAGGCTGTCAAACAGAGAATGTTCCATGCTCTCCCCTCACTGACAAGAGACTCCACACACCTCGAAGAACTGTGCCTCCGAAGGCTGTCAGATCCCTCAAATGCCCAGCAGCAGATTTGTTAATAGCCCCAGTTATGACAGGTCTCTGTAGGTTTTTCAGCCTGCTTTTCTTCTTCACATCTCTGTTCCATCACATTAGGGAGCAACTTTTACCCCACTCCAAGGAGCTTGAGCTAATTCACACAATTCCCCATCAATCTGCAGTCTTTTCCCTGCTCTCTCATTCAGAGGAATGCCAAGTGGATAGCTGCTTGGGGATCCTCTTGATTTGATGTGCTACTTGCTGGTAGCTTAAGGACAGAGAACTGTTCAAGTTTAGTAATCTTCATTTGTTTACTCTTTCTTCCAATAGTAGTTTTTAACTACAGAAAAATACAGTGGACTATTTTTTGCCTGTTTTTGTCTTTTAAAAACAATGTTATAGCACTTCACAGTTGTTTTTTAGCAAGCTACACTGTGTTTGGAAATTCCCTTTTTATGACCTTTTTATTTCCCTTTTTAAATTTCTTCTTCTTCTTTCTTGCTTTTAAACTCTGCATCACTCTAAGCCTTTCTCAATTCCAAACCGTTGAAGATTTATTGGCAGAGGGAGCACTAAAATGTTGAGGTGTTCGCTGACTTCAAAGAAGAAAGAAAAGGTTTTCATGAATCCTTTAATGAGAATGGCTACAGTAAATATTCTAAACGATGGTATAAATCAAAGTCAGCATTAGGGGCAGAGGTTGGGGACTGGCTGGGCTGAGTAGTTTAATATACACAAAGTCTGTACTTCGCCTGAACAGGTCGGGAAGCCTTTTTGGATGGATTTTCTAACACATTAGAGCAGCAAAGTGGAAAATGATACTTGTTGTGGAGCTGCAGTTCTAGTTTGAACACAAAGGGTTGAAGATCATTTATTTCCATATAATTGTTGAGTGGCTTATAAGGAGGTAATGAAATAAATTACATTTTATTTTCTACCCCAGGACCAAGCAAATAAGTTAGGTAACTGAGCAGCTGTGTAGATCTGTCAGTTATTTCTGTCTTATCTCAGAGTTTAGCAGCTGGAGCAAACTTCCTTTTTTTATAGCTGCTCTCACTTCCAAGAGCAGTGAAGGCTAGGAAGTTTTTCTTCCAGAAGATAATTGAAGGGGAGATGGTTTTGTTTGCCTTTTAACTTAAACATTCTTTCATGAAGAAATGCTCTCCTCTGAATGCTTCCTGTTTTTACCGAGTTCACTAGATAATGAGGTTGCCACTGCAAGTGTGGAAGGAAACTGAAAGACAGATGCTGTCTGAGGCATTGACTCCCCTTCACCTGCGAGCTGCTGGATCTCAGGCATTTAAAGGGGATACCAGGGCTTATTGTTGTTCAGTATCAGCACGTTTTAGTTTCATTGTTCACATACTTAAGCATTTTAGAACAGTAAAATATATGTTTACCATGTATGAGTAGCCATTAGACATTCAGAGCTCAGGGAGAGAAGGCAGATTTTTTAAAAAAGGCCTTTTTATCTCTTGTATCTCTGGGAAGTAACTGTACTTCTTAAGACTCAGTATCAGCTCCATTGTGAGCATTGTTGTGTTTCATAGGTGATTTTGAAGCTGAAATGGTTTTCAGGACAGTTCAGTATCTATTGTTAGGCCAGCTACTGTGGCTGGGACAAATAGGGACAAGTTTTGGGGTTTCTTAGGCCACACCAGTGTTTCTCTACAGACTTGTAAGATGTGATCATATAAAGTGAGAGTTTTTCTTCAGATAATGAAATGTCATGTCTCAGTGAGGTAACTGAGCAGTCTCAGCAACCAGAATCAATCAGGTTGGAAAAGACCTCTGAGATCATCAAGTCCAACCTATGACCTAACACCACCATGTCAAGTAGACCATGGCACTAAGTGCCATGTCCAGTCTCTCCTTAAACTCCTTAGGAAATGCAAATGAAAACAGGGGGATCACAGGCATCCTCTTTTCATGTAATTAAAAGACAGAGAGCAAATCAGAAGAGTTTTAATGCCTTGCACCCAGGTTTTCTGAGCAAGGTGGAAGCTACAGCCAAGCTGAGGGGTCAGTAAATGAGAGAGCTATGAGCAGTTACAAAGTGGTGTTTGTCCTGGGAATGAAATAAAAGAAATTAAAAAGAATTACTGTGTTTTTAAAGTATTTTCCCTCTCAGACAGGGAGAGTTTGAGATTGTAAACTGGGAAAACAGAATATACTGTTAAATAGAAAACTGAAATCTGCTAGAATTCCTCTGTGGAAGGTGCTGAGATGCTCCATGAAGGCTGATGCATTTTATTTTCTAAGAAGAAACCTTAACATAATTTTGTAATAGTGGGGAGGTGCTTCCCATTGCTCTGGAGGGGGAAATCATGGAAGTAGTGCCAGAGAGCAGCTATAGAGTCTTCTGGTTCATCTCTGAACCTTTATCTTCATGTTCCCTGACTTGCAGTTTGTCTCTGTTTCCTCGTATACTGTTCCAGTGCAGCACTGAACGACAGTGGAAGGCTCAGCTGTACTGAATAAAGCAGAAGGTTATCTGCTGAGCCTTGTCTGTGACACCAAAACTCATCTGGATGTGACATTTACTTTTTTGGCATCATGTTGTTGGCTCAGATTGCATTTCTGATGCACTGTAACTGCCATTTCCCACTCTTCCTTGTGAAAATGCCTTGGTGAGATCATTTAGAGACTAATACTAAGTTGGGATATATCAACTCCGTTGCTTGTCTTGTTTGTAGGTCAATTAACTTGTCAAAAAAGAAGTTAATTAATTTACTTTGGCAACACCTGTTCTTGTCAAATCCACATTGGCTGTTTGTTATCTGTATTATTGTTTGGGTAGTTATTGCTTGTTCCTCAGTCTGCTGCCTTTTGGGTGTGGAAGATCCGTTTATTTTGCTTCCTTTTCAAAAATTAGTTGATATATTTGCCCTTTGCTTATGATGTGAAGATAAATTCAGATAGTTCTAGCACTATAATATGTTAATTAAACCTTATCAATGTGAAAACAGGAATAAAAACCACAGACCTGGATTTCTATCCTCCCTGTGAAGTTGTTAAATATTTTGTCACAATTCTTCTTTTCCGTGCCAACAGCAGGGAAAGATTGAAAGTATTAAAGTTATATATAAGCTGCTTTTCTTCTCTATCAAGTAAAAAAGTCTAGCAATTCTTTTCATCATCTTTTTACTGCTCCTTCAGTAGTAGAACCTGCTGTCTTCTCTGTGGTGCTGATTGTAATTCCTTTTGCAACT